TATTCTCTAGACAGATAACCTATGTTTAGGATAAAAATAAGATTTCCAATTGATATCACAGTGGGACAATGAATTGTGGAACAAATTTAGACATTCAAATCAATATATACACAAAGAGACTTTCAAAAGAATTCATGTTTATATCACCAATTTTAGGTTTTTTTTAGATGTAAAAAGAATCTTTTTTGTATCTGAAGAAGAACTTAGAATTGGTGACATAAACATACATTGTCTAATGAATTCTTTTTGAATTATCTGTGCTATCTGGGTATGCTGTACCTGAGAAAATCCTGGGAAATATTTATGTGGGCAAAGGCTGCATCTCTCGAAGAGACACTTCTTCAATCAATTATTCGGTACTGATGTTATTTACAATGAAATTTAATTTGTCGGTTTGTTGCGCAGATTGAAAGGTTCCGCGGAGACCATTATATAATACCCGTCAATAATATCAATCGGCAAAACATTGTATTTGCATTCCAATAGCAAGTTGCATTCGACTCACGGTCGATTCGAATCACGACATAACAACCGCGAGATTTATGCGCGTCACGTAATATTATCTTACGACTGCGAATTAACGACACGGGGGAATCGCGCGTCCGCGCGCGTTTACTTTCAAAAGAACAATACTGGCGATCGCGATAGTAACGGATACTTCAACATAAATATTCATTTGATGAGATGTGTCGTCTGAGTATTTGTACAATGCTTGCTCGAGACTTCTCACCGATGCGGCGTCAATGCGACGTGACGAATTTACGTACAAGTTTCAACGATGAAATGTGTATGAACTTTCTATGGAGACTTCGTTACCAATTCGTCGCGACCTACTTTCGTTCCTTACTAAATCACTATATTTATTCCGGATCCTGTCAGATCGACCGCTAAGAACTTAATCGCGCGAATTAACGTACGCGAGAACACGTAGCAACAGTTAAACAAGAAACCAATCGATTGTCATTAGCATCAATAATCGAGGAGACGCTGTTATATAAATGCGAGTCAGAGGCTGTGTATATCGTTCTGCCCGGTGAATAAGGAACTTATATGTTTTTTTTATGATTTACCTTGGGAAGAATAGTGGATACAAAATCACGAAACGATTCTTTTAAAACATAAATAATTTTTCCTGAGTTTCATTAAAATCGGAATAATATTGAAATTAAGAAATAAAAAAATTGATTTGGTAACAACAAAGTAAATTTTTGGGCCTCTTGAAAGTTTGTATTAATATTCTCCATTATGACTAAATAAAATTAAACAATGTGTTACTAGCTAGAATAAAATTTCTTGCAAGTATGATATACTGTTTTTAATAATAAATGTAATTTTTATTCATAAAATGATTGAAATGAAGCACATGAGTGGACAAAATAAAGTTAGCTTATAATTAAAAGCTGGTGAAGACCTCTCACGGAGATTTCTCTCTCTCTCTTTCTCTCTCTTTCTCTCACTCTCTCTTTCTCTACAAATTAAACTACAAATGAAAATACATATTTTATACATCGTCTTCTTATTGTATATACATTACTAGGCAACTGAACCCGATATCAGGATAAGATGACTATGTTGCTGTATGTTCATACTTTGGTTATTAAAAAATATAGTTAATAGGATCGTGACAGGCATTAATACATAGAAAAAGGTTGCCTTTAAAATGTTTATACAGTCAATAGATACATAGTCAGAGACACATAGTTGTTATGTTAAAATGAATAATAAATATAGAAGTAAATACAGAAATATGACATTATAAAATGAATAATAAATATAGAAGTAAATATAGAAATATGACATTATAAAGTTATTTCAGATAATCTTTGACACACATACACACACACAAATTTATCATGTTGTCATATTTTCAATCATATGTTGTCGATTTAACGGATTTTCTCATCGATAGATCTCAAGATTTCTCTTCAACCTGACAGTAAATTTATGTGATTCTTTATTAAAATATGTTTCAATGTGTATTTTATTATAACGATAGTTTTTTTAAACTTCTGTCTTATATACATATATATCAAATTAGAAGAAATTTATTATATTATAAACGTTTTACATATCATATTGCTTGCACGATATAAATTTATAATTAAATATTTCGGAAACGATACGGTAAAAATTATTGGAATTTCTGTTATATATCATTAAGTTACAATTGTAGTTAGGTTATGCATTGTTAAGTTAACAATTATACATTATTAATTCAATGAATTTATGTATTACGTGGATAGAGATGTAATATCGTGGATAGAGTAGACAATAATTTTTTGGATATGTAAAATTTATAAATTTTCTATCTTTGTGAAATTCGTTTTTCAATAGATGGATTTTCTCTCACATTGAGAACTTTTCTGTCCATGAGTGTACATATTATAAATATATCTTTTACTTGGTCAAACGCTAGAACCTGTTCAAGTGAACGAAACACGAGAAATCCGCAAATAGCTTCTTTGTAGTAACTTTCTCGTTACAGCGAGGCCAGAGCTCAATCACGACAGGACGTCAACCGACGAATTGCAGTTATTTCCACACCGTTCACTATTACACTATTTTTCCACTCCGAATTAGTCGCACGTGTTCGAAATTATCCGACGATTTAGTCGTCATGGCACGACCTCATCAACGCCGACGTCGTACTTCGCTTTATTGTGTCTTATACTTATATGTTCCAGTCATAAGGAAGCTATATCCTTTTAATTATAGCGGTACATATACGGAATTCCGAACGATAGGAGGGTTCCTTAGCGACAAAAATCATCTGTCATGTTCGCGTTCAAAAACGTTCTTATATTTAAAAGAAAGCAAGTAATTGCAAATTAAGTAATTGCTTTTCTTAGTATTTCCGGATCGCTCGTGCAGATTTCCTGTAATTCGACATCTTTCGCAGAGAACCCTGAGGAAACGATAGCACTCGACTCGAAATAATACGGTTTCCTTCGCTTACACCCACACACGTTTTCATGTTCATCTTTCTTTTCTTACAAGGTTGAACTACTTTTTTAGAACGCGACAACTTTCATTATTATGATACTTACGCGGCCTCCTTGGTATTGTATGCATCGAATCTTTACACAATACGAACAAAAAATTTATAAGAGGTCTATTCTCTCCTATCAATCCTAATCTATGTAAAAGGGAATATGCAGTAGCTGGTACTCCAGATATCAAATATTAAAATATATAGAGATTAAAAAAACTAATAATTGATAAATAATTAGAGAAAAGTTAAACAGAGTAAACACCTCAGGCGAAACAAACACCATCATCCTATATGTTAGACAACGACCAAACAAATAATAATATACATTTCCACTGTTTTGAAAAAATCCTGAATAAAGTCATACCTAGAATTATTCGCATTATATTATGTTCTTAAAATATATGTATTTGTCTTGATTTACCGCAAATGTCTTAAAATATGTAATGGTTTGGTTTTATGTCCCAATAATTTTCAAAAAGTCCTTGTCCAGTAAAATGAATCTAATATCCGCTTTACTCATCACCAATCCGCTTTATTCTAATATTTCTGTCTATTACAATTAAAAACGCGAACTTCGGAATACGAATTATTACTAAAAGATCCTACATCTCAGTTATCTATTGTTCAAGAGTATATATTAAATATAGAATATGTTATTGATTAAGATGATATGGAAATCTTAGATATGGAACCAGAAAGAGACTTACATCTGAAATATTATTTATTAAAAAATAGATAGATCTTAATTTACAAAGTGACACTGATTTCCTTAGCAACTCATATCTTCCAATTTTACATAAATTAAATCGAAATTAAAAGTCGTTACATATCGTTACAGTCGTTACAAGACCATGGATTAAGAGTCAAAGAATAAGAAAAGGAACAAAAATACCAGAGACACTAAAAAACAAAAAGAAAATTCAAAGAGAATTAAGTTACATCTGTTATTATGGAGAAAAATATATAGAGATTAAGCATCCAATTGATAATTAAATATAATATAATAGGTGCAGTCAAAGGAGCCGCGAAAAATGTGCAACTTATGAAGCAATAGACACGTTACCAATTCTAGTTCTATATGACAATTGTACCGAAAAAAAAAAACTTATTTATATCAGAGCAAAACGGATATTTCTATATTTACCTATATTTTTAATTAAATTAACTATATTTACCTATATTTTTAAACGTTAAAACTACCAAATGTTTAAAAGTTTTGTTGATTATTTCGTAAAATTTAATAAATGATAACTAAAATTAGTATATTTTTTTTATTCATTAATCTATTAATTTTATTTATTAATTAATTTTCTTAAAGTCTTCCAAATCTTAGAGTGTCCACTTTACCCTAATAAATAAGTGATAAATCTCCCCATCTTAATATTTAATAAAATCCGGGCATGAGCGCCAGCTAACGAGTACAAACTACACAAAAAAATACATACTGCTTTTAAGAAAACTTTTCATTTCAAAACAAACTCATTTTAAGTATTTCATAAATTTATATATCTGCTCATCATAAGCATCAAATTTATTCGAAATATATTTTAAATCCTAATAAGTTTAATATCTCAATTAAGAATATAAAAATAAATGAAAATAAAAATTAAACTTACCTACTATATAGAATCGAACCAACTTTCTCTTCGACAAAGTATTATAATATTCTTGTGAAAAAACATAAGATTCTTCTTTCGAGTATATAATAATGAACTTTTTTGAAATTCACTACGAGTATATTTGAAGACTGTACTGAGAAAACACATTTAAAAATTTATTTATGGGAAATAAATTTTTATTCCACTCACATACATATGCACACACACAAATAAATTGTCGAATATTTTTGTTCTCAGTATGTTATTATAAAAATATATTCTTTGTTGGAGATCAATATCACTAAAAAAAAATAAACTCAGTAATCGGTTTTCCTAGCAGTAGAGTAATATTTTTTTGTGTATATTGAACATTTTCCCCAATTTAAGTGAATCTTTAAAAAAAAGCTCACCGGTGGCGGCTCAGTGGAAGAATAGACCTCACTGGGTGCGTAGTGGCTGTGGGTCTGCGGTATCTTGTCCGAGACGACGGCGACCGTCGCCAAAGAGTCTGGCTGTTCTTTCTCCATCTCCTCTTCGTCCTGCGCGATCTTCTACTTCCGACCAGGTCCACGTAGCACAAAAGCGATCGGTCGAGCCCGGGAACGTCGGTGTGTCGTCTCGTTTCTCTCTCCCACCTCCTTGCCGCGATTCTGTTCCTCTTCCTGGGTCGGCTCCCGATGGACGAACTTGAAATCCTCTTGCTGCTCCGGTACACCCGGTGTAGATGGCTCGACGAGTCGACGAGCAATGAGCGTCGAGGAAACGCTGACACTGCTAGCTTAGAGATGCCCCCACCTAAACCCGGCGTGCACCTTCCTTTGGCTGCTTACCACCTTCTGGTACCAAGGTGTACCTCCCCCGATAATGACGACGACGACGACGGTGTTCTCGTTGCCGTTGACTTTCTAAACACTACAAATAAGAAAACGTATTAGTGAACGTGAGAGGCTCGTTTCTATGTACCTGAGAGTTCCCGTGGGCTCACCGACACCGACGCACACCGGCGCGCACGTGTATCGTTGAGCATTCGGCTGCATGTAGGCAGCCCGTGATCCGCGCCGACGGTAGTTTTGCAACATTTTTTCCCTTTTTCTGCCCCGTTCTCTCCCTCTCTCTTTCTCGATGTTTGAGAAAATTATAAGTAATCGAATAATCGAGCGGCGAAATAGGGTGATAGCTTTCGCGATTTTGGGAAATCGCTGTTTGTCGCTGTTACAAGCTGTTAATCGCTGTTTGTGGTAACGAATGAAGATCTGTTGTATGCCAAAATGCGAGCACGTTCCATCTGCTGCTTTGTTTTGACTAGATATATCTTACGAAAAGGAAATTGGAGTAAAGTGTGAATTTTTAAAGATACAAATTATATACTGTCCTTGTATACTCCATACACATTGCTCATGCACGCTCGTTTTAATACAACTGTCAAGATAATTGCGAAAGACCTCACAGTTTCTTGTCGGGTGCACGCAAGGAATTTTTCCTGAAGACACAAACATTCATTAATTGAAGAAGCGCCATAATAGTCTTGCTTGGTTAGAATGTTCGGCTAGAAGACTTGCTATATTTACAGTATAAAAAAATTTTTGAGAAAATATGTGGAATTTCTAAATTTCTTTTCTCTTTAAAAAAAAGAATAAAACTAATAAAAAAGTAATTCTTTCCAAAAAAATGCGGAACTTTCTCACTAGCTTTAAAACGCGTGCAAAAAAATTTCCATATTGAATTATATGTATGCCATGCATTGCTTTAATACTACACACAGACAAAAATATTGTCTTACTACAAAAAATTGATTATTCAGTTTACTTGCTTTCTTTTAAATAATAAGCATTAAGAATAATACTTATTATTTCCAACATAAATAATTTCTCAATAATAGTTTTAGATAGGCTTATCAAAGATTTTAGAAAAGCTCATTAAAATATATTTAAAAAGGAAATTATTTTCTTTATAAAAATATTATAGAAGATTATGAAAGATGAAATTAGTTTGACATTATATTGTTTAATATTATACAGTTTGTACAATAAACAAGAAACAAATTTTTTTTTTAATTTAATATTCTTAATTAAAATGCTAGACTTACTAGAATAAATATGATACTTATGATAAACTTATGTGAAAGATTTGCAAATATATAAACTTATAATATACTTGAAACGTTTATTTAAATGCAGTATATATTTTTCTGTGTATAGACAGACAGAAAAGTTTGATTGAAGTAATCTAATAATTAATGAAGCAAACGCATTTTGCAACGCATTAAGGGACTACATAGGCCTGAGCGGCTCAAAAACCGCTTAATATTTGAACTTTTCTGCTGATTACGTTATTGACTTTATGAAGATACATATCTTCCCTTTAGTCTTTTTTACGAGATTTTGCCTCCTCAGTTAACTCTAATGTCATGTACCCCGTTAAGTTGATACTATCACTATCGTCAAAAGCGGCGAATTAATAGGCATTTAAGCTCATCGATACGTTCATACTCTACATTATTTTTAACAAAGCCTCTTTTCTTCGTTAAAACACATGTTGCTTTATATGCAGCTCTCTATTTCTATAATATTAATTCCACGTAATTAATCATGTTGTTTTGATGCAATTTTCCAAATAACGCTGTTTCATTATTATTTTATATATATTCACCAAGACAACAATAAAGTTTCAATAAAGTACTTTACTAACATCGTACCTTAATTATATGTACTTGCCTAAATCTTCGTATATTAATTTTATGCAGAAGTACTCGTATTTATTTGCTCCTATTCTCGTATTCACTCTGCTGTGCTTCATATTTGTTGACTGGACGCTTCCTCTTTTTAAGCTTATATTTCCTAAATTGTTTACATGCATAATCTTCTCTTAATCATTTCTTTTGATCTGTGGGAAGGTTTAGCGTGTCGCTTTTAATCTAATACCAGGAATCGAAGGTACCAATGATTGCTGAAAGTCAATTCTTTAGTTATACATTATATATATATATATATATATATATATATATATATATA